ATCAAACGTCCAAATAATTTTTTTTTGCAATATTAAAATATACATACTTACCTAGCAATTTTCAAAGTTGCACAACAATGCCTAAGAAGTGCCAATGATAATGATCCAGTTGCAATTATCGTTAACATTCCAATTATCATTAATACAACTTCAGATATTAAATAAATATAAAAATACTGGTTCTCGTCAATAAAAAATTCAAAATCTATTATTATTTTACGTGGTCGAGATTTATTGATTGGATATATGACAGCATCGAGGACAATTGGTGTCAATTCTAAGATTATAAGAAAAGATACACATAACACGGTACAAACTGGAAACGTAAAAAATAACAAGATATCATACAACTTCATTTCATTTTCATAAAGAAATTGTTTCAAACAGAAATGTATATATTTACATTATAACCATAATGCATTCTATAATTTACTTACAACATAAAATTAATGTTACAACGCGACTTTCAATAGCATATTTCTCTAATATTCTAATTTCGTTACTATCTTCGATTGAATTCCAGTCCAATTTTAATTGTTTGAACAAATATTTCATCTATCATTTAAACCATTCTTGCTTGTAAAACTGCTCTTACTTGCGACTTTTTAAAATTCACGGCAGTAAAGAGATCTTCCATAAAAATAAAGCTACAGATAATACTTACTTCTTTAGAATTACAATAATAAGAGTTATAAAATACAATACATATAATGGTCAAGAGAATACATGAAAGTTCTCTACAAATAAATTCTAAGTTACATTTCTTTGTTAAAAAAGTCGTAAACTGCAACATTGAATATACTCGTAAATATAATAGCTTATAGTGAATTTATGTAATAAGGAATCAGCTAAAAAAGCATTACATATAACAAAAAAAAATCGAGAAATACCTGAAACAAGAGAAGGAAACAATATGCGGTAAGGAAAAATGTTGACTGCACTTGCATAACGATCGGAGTTTGATAAGGCCATAAACCAACCGCTGTCAACATAATTCGATACACGTTGTAATAACGTTCGCCGGAAAAGACCATCTTACTAGTAGACGGTGTAAATGCGAATGAAAATGTCACGAATTACTGAATAACATCGTCCTGAATATTTTTTTATTTATCGGGTAATACCTCTCGTAGGGGAAGATGTGCGATAAACTATGCAACTTAACACAATTATATATTATTACGTAGTGAGAACAAAAAGTGCTATAATTCCATCAACTATTTGAAATAATGATAGGTTATATGGAAAATAACTATTTTCCGTAATTTGCGAAAATTGTCAATGTTGTAAGAAAATATACCTCCCATTTTGTTCTTATAGTTTTGTCCGGCTCAGTTTAACGTAACTTTGTGGGAGAGCGCAGTTCACATGGAGAGAGTGATATACTTCAGTAAATTACAAAATTCTATCTCGATTAAAAATAACATATAGTGAAAAATATTAGATATCCAGCTTTTTGCAAGAAATTTAAAATTTTTCTTCCGTCTAAAATTTTTATATTGTCTCCATCAAAATTGAATATTCCATACAGTGTTCTGTAATTATTGAATGCTGTTCTGTTTCCCAAATTATTTCTGTTTATGTATATCAAAATTGATATATTCTTTTTTTATGCTTTTTAGTTCAATTAAATTTCAATAATAGTTAATATTTTTAGAAAATGTATAATATAATATATTTAAAATATACTTATTTGTATGAATTTTTTATAAAAAGAGGTTTATAATCATTTCTAGTTTACCGTATATTAAAAATAATCATTAAAATATATAAAATAAAAACGGTTTTAATAAACTTTGTTTAGCGATTCAGTATTCTTTTAAACAATTTACGCTATTACTAGAGGAAGAATAACATATACAGCGGTAATTAACTTTAGCGGTGTTCACTATATTTCTCTATTACTTCTAGAATAGTAATAATTCTATAAAGAATAAGTAAAAACATATGTTCCTAAGAAAAATATTAATTTTGTATAATCACCTGTTACACATGATCGCTATATTAACGCTCGCTGTCTAATAAAACTACACATACAGTATGAATTATGGTGCAGCCCCGTTAAACATTTACTGATTGACTATTATTTGCGTAATAGTGCTAAAAATTGAATTCATATTTTTCAAATGAATGCTACTAATAATATAGCATACATTAAAATTTTACATACCGATCAGAGAAAAATTTTTACAGATGATTACGACCTTGTCAAGTTTTCACATATATTGTCAAGGTTATGACACTGATTAACCTCCAATAACTTATAACCGTCGTTCGTTTTCCCTTAAAAAATTATTTACTTAAAAATTTGGAAAAGTAATGTCATATTTCTATTGTACATACAATATCAAAAACCCCTCCTATCTTGCGTAAATGGCTTTTCACATGAAAGATGATTCATCTCACCTACCAAGGGGCCACATGAAACGAGTTTTACAATGACACCATATCTTCCCCTGATCCTAGAGCCGCATGACTTCCCACGCAAAGCAAGATATCTATCGAAAAAATAAAAGTTATATATCCTTTGGCAGGAGGGTAGGTAGAGTGGAAATCGCTCTATGTGGAAGGATATAAATTATGTTTTAAAGAGAGAGAGAGAGAGAGAGAGAGAGAGAGAGAGAGAAAGAGGAAAATTTTTGTTTTACAAGAAAGCAAGCATTATTTTTCAAATTTTTTGTAAATACTTTTTAATGAATACTGAACGACGCCTACAACTTGTTTTAGGTCATTCAACGTCATAATTCTGACAACATATGTGAAAGTCAAAATCATCGGAGAATTCTTCCCTCATCGGTGTATTTATCTAAATTTTATAAAATAATATGAAATTTGTGATTTATATTTGAGTAAAACATTTATGCACCTAGAAATTCGACATATCATAATGGTTTGCTATTAACACAACTATAACTACATTGAAAGTTCTATAATCAATTACAACTTTGCTATTTTTTCGTCGTGGTATATATAACAGTAAAATATGATATTGATGTAGTCATAATCTAAAAAAATAATTGAATGTTTATACCAAAATTAAGATTTCAATATTATAAACATCATTATGTGACATTACTATCTTTTTTAAAGATGCATTAAATACAATATAAAAAATAAGATATAAATCTTTTTTAGACAATTAATTCACTATAAAATATTTATTACTGTAGAAAATCCCTCTAGAGATGGTACGTAAATGTAACCAATTTTTGGAGTGTGAGATATCATGGAATTTTGCATTACAAACAAAAGCAATTTTTGTATCGATAATGGAGCTAAATACCACATTGTATTGTACCTAAAAATGTATAAAATGTTAGATCTAGCATTATTTATAAAAGTAAATTTTTATGTGTGTATTTAGATTGTACCACTTTGTGCTTATTTTAAAAATAACGAATTTAAAAATATTATATAATAAAGGGTAAACATGACATTCAGGATATTTAAAATCATTAGAATGATAAAGTCAATGCCACATCCGCACACAATTGTTTGCAATTTCATATTTTCAGAATGTAGAAAGCGTTCATAGTGTATAGATTCAGATACACAACAGGTGCAGCTATTTTTGTTTGTATCCAAATTTTCTATACATATTTTATCAAACTAAACATTTGTCTCACATAAAATTTATTTCCTTCTTCGATGATTCCGCATGAGCTTCTCTCTCTTTAAAAACTAGACATAAAAGTATTTTTTCTATTGAGATTTTTGATCAGAAATTTAAAAACTATAATGTATCACAAATTTTATCCTCATAGCAAGCTGACATCAAAATAATGTCTATATGACGCCAAAATGACGTTTTCTGACATCAAAATGATAACAAGTAATATAACTTCTTATCACGGGATTAATTTGACTAAAACCGTGGGTTTACAAATAAATAGTACAGAATCGTGTGAATACGAACACATTATTACTGAGATTTGTTTTGACCGACAATAGGTTTCTTTCTTTTATCTTATGACGTAATGTGTGAGTTAATAATATTTATGTAAACATTCTGGAATAACAATATATTTCCAAATAATATAATCTATAAAGAATGGATTGTTTAACACCTTCAAACTATAATTCACACATTGAAGTAAAGCTCTGTTAGCTAAACCAAATTTGTATATGGTATTTTTCGGAATCAATAAAAGATTATAATAATCACAAAAGTTTTTCGTATAAATAGAATTTTAAGTATATTATTTTTGGGAGATATTATGAACAGAAATTTATTAAAAAAAGACACATGAGATATGAATTTATCGAAGAAATTTGTTTCATTCGTACACATCACTAAAAAATTAAATTTTTATATGATACTTACGCGGCGTTAAATATTTCTCCGTTATGCTCGGTAAGTGATTGACCAACAAAATTGGAAACAAACATTAGTACAAAATGACCTATTATTAGACCGATGTCCATTGTTATTTCGGCAATCTTATGTGACACTGTTACTGCATTGGATAGCTATAAAGATATATTATATTATCTTTTATACATTATATCAATTTATTTATGTTTAACGGTTTATTTAATTTCTATTATTATTAATTTAAGAATTAATAATAATAGAAACTAAATAAACCGTTAAACATAAATAAATTACTACATATATAAATGAATTACTTACTCGAAAAAGAGTGCAGCTTAAAGACATTACGAAGATTATTCCCATAACAAAATACCATTTATTCATAATACTCAAGAGAAATGTGGAAAACCTTCAACAGCGACGAAACATTTAATTCATATCTTTGAGTCAAATATATAAGAGCATAAAGAATGTTAAAAGAGTAAATTAAAAACTAACTGAATTGATTTTTTATGAATATAAATAGCACGATTAATTCTTTGACACATTACGTGTGTTTTCCGAAAAGCAGGAATTTGAAGTGTATGTTTATTCACAGTATCTTCGATTACGTTACTGCAAACAATTTAACTATGATAAAACTTCAAGATAAAATCTATAACAAAGTTGGAAGGCACGCACTTACCTAGCAATTTTCAAAGTTGCGCAATAATGCCTGAGAAGTGCCAACAATAATGTTCCAGTTGCAAGTATGGTTAACAGCGCAGTTAGTACTAATACGACTTCAGATATTAAATAAATATAAAAATATTGATTCTCGTCAATAAAAAACTCGAAATCTACTATTATTTTACGTGATCGAGATTTATTGATAGGATATATGACAGCATCAAGGACAATTGGTGTAAATTCTACAGTTATAAGAGCAAACATACCAAATGCGGAACAAACTGGAAACATAAAAATTAACAAGATATTATACAACTTCATTTAATTATCATAAAAAAAAGATTTCAAACAGAAGAGTATATATTTACATTATATGATATTTATAATTTATTTTGTAATTTACTTACAACATAAAATTAATGTTACAACGCGATTTTCAATAGCATATTTCTCTAATATTCTAATTTCACCACTATCTTCGATTGAATTCCAGTCCAATTTTAATTGTTTCAACAAATATTTCACCTGTCATTTAAACAATTCTTGCTCCTAAAAATTCTCTTACTTGCGACTTTTTAAAATTTTCAGGGCTAAAAAACTTTTCCATAAAGATAAAGCTACAAGTAATACTTACTTCTTTAGAATTACAATAGTAAGAGTTATAAAATATTATAGACATTATTGTAATAAAAATATATGTAAATTCTCTATAAATAAATTCCAAGTTGCATGTTGTTGTTAAAAAAGTTGTAAACTGCAACATACAATAGAAGTATAATAACAACATATTGAATTCATGTGGGTAATAAAGTATCATCTCAAAAAGCATTATATGTAAAAAAAAATCTAGAAATACCTGAAATAAAAGAAAGAAGCAATATATGCTAAAGAAGAATGTTGACTGCAATTGCATAACAATTGGAGTTTGATAAGGCCACAAACCTATCGTCGTCAACAAAACTCGATAAATATTGTAATAACGTTCACCATGAAAGACCATCTTACTCGGAATATGTTTACAAATGTAAATATTGCAGATATTTTGAACGGTGTCGTATTGTACTACGACTGAACGTTTTAAATTTTCCGCGAAACTTTTTTTGCAAAAAAAAATGAATGTCATAACCAGTACTTTAATAATTTTCTGTAATAACGCAGTGAGTTTAAAAAGCGCTATAATTCCATCAAACATTTGACAATGATATAATATTATAAATATTATGCGGCAATTTGTAGCTATTATATGAAAATATACTCTTATTATCTTATAGTTTGGACCGGCGGAGTTCGAAGTAACTTCACGCGAAAGCGTAGTTCATATTGTGACAGACTTCAGTGAATAAGTTCTTTTAATCATTTAAATATTTCTTATAATGCAAGATATTAGTTTCGTAGCATTCGTATTTTATGTTATTATAATTTGGAGAATAAAGTAAAAATTTAAAGCACCAGTTTAAACATGCACACAATTGACGATCTTTCGCACGAATGATACATGTGATCAAAAATTTCATACATTGGTCCTACGTCTAAGACCATTCATAGGAAAGAAATGATTTATTGAGTTCCTACATCCAGAAGAGCTCCGAATTGTTGAAAACTCCGTTTTTGAAATATATAAAATATAAAATGTGCTAAAAAATGTAATGAAAACATCAAAAATAAATTATTCCACAAATAAGAAGTGCAAATTTATAATACAAAAATAAAAAACCACGTACATACAAGAAATCGTCAATCATCTACCTATTTAATTGGGCTTACTTTCACTTTTCGCTACACGAACATTTCAGATTTCAATCACATTATACCTTGGTCTTTTTGCAAGAGCCAGTAATGTGTTTACTAGACGTTTGTTCGCGTCGCAATTCTTGACATACTCCATCCATAGCTTCTACTCACTTCAACGAGCCTGGAAAAGCTGTGAATTAGGTCACTGACAATTTACTCCGAATACACACATCTTTTACAATTTTGTTTATTTTAACTCAATTATTTTTCAAATCACCGAATACAAATTCAAAATGACGGATTGAGTATGACGGCCCAATATGCAATCCAATGTAATACATATTTGAAGTTTGAAATCAACATCGCGGAGAGTTTCCTTCAGCTGCTCGTATGTAGAGACCTTAAGAGCTTGGACGTATGACGGCGTGTTTTGATCGATTTAGATTTTTCAACAACTTCTAAGAAGAAAATAAAGCAGGAAATAGTTTTAAAAAAATAGAATAGGAATATATAGTAGAAAGAGAAAAAAATAGTAAATATACGTTCTTCTTTCTCGCATGATTTTGCTACAAGATGATTTTGTCCTAGACACCTTCCAAAACTCGTGTCTAAACTGTTATTAGAAAATACGATTCATGATTCATCCTGTTGATTATTTACTGTTGTACGATTTCCGTTTGCATATATTATTAGTCAAGTGCTAAAAATTAAAATTATTTCTGTCATGTTAGTGCTACTAATTGTGCCTATATTTAAATTTTAAATAATAATATTTGAAGTTTTATGATTTGTTCGAGCAAATAATTACGTACCTAGAAATTTGTCATAATCGGCTGTTATTAATATAACTATCATACTACAGAAGGTTCTATACTATTACAATTTTTTGTGTGTTATTTCTTTGTCGTGGTATATATTACGGTAAAGTATGAAATTGCTGTAGTTATAAGCTAAAAAAATAGTTTATATCACAACAATAAAGATTTCATTGTTATAAACATTGTTATATAATAACAATGTCTTTTTAAATATGCATAAAATACAATATAACGAGATAAAATCATTCTTTTCTAGACAATCAGTTCACTATAAAGTAGTTATTACTGTAGAAAATCCTTCTAGAGATGGCATATAAATATAACCAATTTTTAGGGCATAAGTTTTCATAGAATTTTGCATCACAAATAAAAGCAATTTTTGTATCGATAATGGAGCTAAATACCACATTGTACTGTACCTAAAAATTTATAAAATGTTAGATTTAACATTACATCCAAAAGTCAGGTTTTTATTACGCTTGCGCATTTAAATTATACATAACTACTGTTTTTGCTCATTTTAAAAGTGTAATAAATTTATAAGTACTATATATTCAGAATGTCCTAAAATAATCACCAAATATTTTATGCGTAGATAAAACGGACTAAACTGAGTTGGAAAGTCTACCATTTTGCTATTTTCGCAATAGTTAACAAACATTAATTTTTAAAGAAAGATATGAATACTCACATCCGCCTAGCCTACTACTGCCGAATATCATCGATAGCTTGACGCACGGAGACTTGGGGATTGCCTAGCAAGCAAAAGTCCAAAATGTCATGACTCGAACAGCGCGGCTCGAACACTTGCCTAGAGACCCTCAAGTAAGAGATACGCAAACACCCGTTTGAAGCTGGCCCCCCAATATTAAAAAATCGATTTTTTTCTTCATGCATTTGTTTCCTCATCGTTTATTCACGAATGCTCAGTTGGAATTTTTGTTTGCTCACCCTTAGTTCAAAAGATTTGTGAGCAAACGATGAGCAAACGGATACATGAAGAAAAAAATCGATTTTTTAATTCGATACCAAAACATAATTTTCATATATCTTTTGAACTAAGGGTGAGCAAACGAAAATTCCAACTGAGCATTCGTGAGCAAACGATGAGCAAACGAATGCATGAAGAAAAAAATGATTTTTTAATATTGGGGGGCCAGCTTCAAACGGGTTACGCAAACTCCGTTCGCAAGAACATCACGGTCTCCATGATGTTCCATATGTTCGTAATATTTATATGTATAAACACATACAAACATACCACGTCTTTATTCTGCGAATAGGAATAGAATAGAATATGGTTATGCCATATTGGTTCCGTCATATTCTTCTATCGACACCATCAACCAATCCCGTCGCAGCTTTAAGAAAAGTTTGCGCATATCTTACTTATTTTTTTTCTGAAAGATGGATTTCCGATTTCTAAATAAATCACGTTTTCAAAATGAACTCACTGGACTGAAAAAGGCCAGACAGATCAATGCATATCATAAATCATCTCTTACTTGAGGATCTCTACGTTTGGCCAGACCATCCTCGCTTCTCGTGGTCTGCACGTCAAACAATTGGTGGATGTACATTTGGCAGTAGTAGGCCAGGCAAACGCGTGTATTCGACTATCTTTAAAAATTAATATACGTATCTTGTTAACTGCAAAAATCGCAAAATAGTATAAGACTTTTTGTCTCAGTTTAGTTTATTCTACCTGCGCATGAAATATTTGGTGATTATTCTAGAACATCTTCTATAAAACGTGTACTTAAAACCAGAGACATTTAAAGTCTTTAAATTGAAAAAGTACCGCAAATATTCAATTTTTTGCATCAAAATGGCTGATAGCCATTATACATAGTGTACGAATGTATCTACATATTAGGTGCAGCTTTTAACTTTTACCAGCTTTTCTATGCATTTTTTGTCAAACTGAACATAACACTTCACACAAAATTTATTTCTTTTGTGATTACGCATCCCATGCAACAATCGACGTCATATGGTCGTCCAAACGACATTGCTTTCGTCATACATTGAAGTGTATGTTCCTAAAGACATAGAGTACACATTTTTTGCACGTACAATGTACCAACCTTACCAAACAAAAAGATTTGTAATAGACGTCATTAGTATTATACATCTAATCCCAAACAGCACAAAGAATTAAGTCTGAAAATATTTTTCTTGTTTATATGTATATAAATTTTTGTGCAAAAGAGGGAGACATCAGTCATTGTCAGTAAGGTCCAAGAAATATTAAAAAACTATCAATGTTTATCTCGGAATCCACGGACCTATATAGGGACTCACCTTCAAGATATTATATCATCATTTTATCAAAAAAGGATAAAAACTGTTCACTCTGAAGAATCTCATTATATTGCGCTTTTTATTATATTTGATATGGTTTTTTAAATACGAGTAACTTTGCTGTGTTTCTCTAGTAGCGACGTCGCATACTAAAAATTTCAATTGAAAATTGAATATTGTCGACGTACCTTGGACATCCCTAAAACTGTGTATAAATAACTTTAATACGGAATGCCCAAATAACGTCTTTGGGATGTATTATATTTTAAACGCCCAACATACAGCGACATAAACTGGATTCTTCTAGACACATTTCGAACTTCCAAGAACATCGAATTGTTGCTTGGGATGTGACGTAAACTTCAATTTTCTGAACCGTATGTGTACCTTTCTGCACTTTTATATACTAAAACCTCAATAACAAATAAACCCGTATTAAACTAAATAATACATAAATTAAATATGCACATATTTCTTTATTCATAAATAAATTATAGATAAAATAATTGATTTCTATAATTTACATTATTATTTATAATAATTGATTTACATTAAAAATGCCAAAGAATTTACGAATTATTGCCATGTTGTGATCCATTGCTAATGCCAACGTTTCGTAAATCTTACCGTTTATTTCATCAGGGTAACGAGCGCACTGATATAATGACGAAGTAAACGATAAGATTCACAAAAGTTGGCATTAGCAATGAATCATGACAGAACGATATTCCGCCTTAACGATATAGCCTTTAGCACCTCTAAAAAAGATGCACGCCAAGGTCTTCCAAAAAGTTTAATTGATTTAAATATTTATTTATATATTTTCCCTCTCAAACAAAATATGTTTACACAAATACGAGATGTGGTCATTGAATTTGTCGAAAAAGTTAATTGGTTTTATTGAGATATCATTGAAGATTTGAAGTTTTATATGATACATACGCAGCTTTAAATACTTCTGCGCTATGATCGATAAGTGATTGTCCAACAAAATTACATAAGAACATCAGTATAAAATGAGATGATACCATTCCGATATTCATTGCTATTTCAGAAATTTGACATGATACTGTTAGTGCATTGAATAGCTATAAAGACGTATTATATTATCATTCATACAATAATATATCAATCTATAAGAATTCATATATATATATATATATAATAAATAATAATAGAAATTAAATTATATAGACATAATTAAATTACTATATATATACGTAAATGCATTACTTACTCGAAAAAGGTTACAACTTAAAGATATTACGCTGATTAGCATTACAGCGGAATACCATTTGTTCGCAATACTCATAAAAAATGTAGAAAACCTTAAACAGCACAAGAAAATCTATTTCATACCTTTGAATCAATTATATAAAAAATATATTTCTTTAAAATTTTAAAATTAATATTTATCATGCAAAATAAATAAATGTTAAAACGGTAAATAAAAAACTAACTGAATAGATTTTTTATGAATATGAATAGCACGATTAATTCTCTGACACATCACGTGTGTTTTCTGATAAGCCGGAATTTGAAGTGTATGTTTAGTCACTGTATTTTCAATTATATTACTGCAAACAATTTTTATATAATTAACAAACAATTTGAGATAAATTACTTTCTTCAGCAAAATTAAAAGATACGTATATGACATACCTAGCGATTTTAAAAGTTGCGCAAGAATGATTGAGAAATGCCAATGATAATGTTCCAATTGCAAGTATCGTAAGCATTCCAATTAGCATTAATACAATTTCATATATTAAATAAATATAAAAATACTGGTTCTCGTCAATAAAAAGTTCAAAACCTATCATTACTTTACGTGATCGAGATTTATTCATCGGACATGTAACAGCATCAAGGACAATAGGTATCAATTCTGTAGTTATAAGAGCAAACATACCAAATACGGTACAAACTGGAAATGTAAAAAATCGAGCTATTATACTGTATAACTATATACAATACTATATAATTATCATAACTTAATTTAATCGTCATAAGTAAATAATTTCAAACAGAGGAGT